GGCTGTTCCTTCAGATTATCGTTTATTGTGTGTTGTAGTAAATGCAATTTTAAAGTCAGAACTAAATGCATTTGTATTCGTTAGAAAAGGATTATAGGTTTGTTCCAGTGGTGGGTTCCGGATCCCATTCCAATGGGCCCGGCGGCATCCACATGGACTTAGCACCTACGCGGAGCATTGCACAGGCGCTGCACGCACCATGCATGTGTGCAGAAGCGTCGAAGACTTAAAAGATCAGTAAGGAGCTCGGGCGGGCAGGTGGGCCCTCCTGAGCACCGTACCGGAACAGTACACAGTGCTCAGAGCATGCTCCGGTATGCCCGTATCGGTGCGTACCACCTGCAACCCACCACTGGTTTGTTCTCATGAAAAATCTGTACAAGAACTGCCACGAGGCAATTTGCAAAGAAGTGTTCATTGTTCAATAGAGGACTTACAACCACAACTGAGCTCAAAATTTCTGTTGCTAAGTGAGACAAGTCTTTCTTGCCATAGTTGTTAAGTGAACCACTGCAGTTGTTAAGTTAGTAACATGGTTGTTAAATGAATCTGCCTTCCCCATTGACTTTCCTTGTCAGAAGGGAGCAAAGGGTGATCACATGAACCTGGGACACTGCAACCATCATAAATATGAGTCAGCTGTCAAGCATGTTGATGCTTGGGGATGCTGCAAAAGTTGTAAGTGTGAAAAGCAGTTGTAAGATATTTTTTCAGTGCTATTATAATTTTAAATAAACTGTTGTAAGTCAAAGTCTACCTATATATCTGTCACTTTCTGTGATGGAAAACCATTCTGAATTCCTTTGGCAAATCGCTCCACCTTTCCGTTCCTCCCCGTTCTATGGAATATTGGAACAAAATTATGTAAAAGGGTTCAGAACTTTCTCTGCTTGTTTTTACACAGGATAATACCTGAAAACCACCATTGAGATTCAATTCTCAATTCACCATTGAATTGAATCTTCAATTCACCATTGAGATTCAATATGGAAGGAAAAGCCAAGAAAAGAAAAAATAGAGTTCAAAATGAGCCAGATCTGCAGAGAAAAATAAATCAGGACATTTTCCTACAATTCACCCCTATTGGAGAAACAGCAAGACTCAGGATGCTGCCAACTGCTCCATTATTAAGTGCCTTCTTCAATCTCATGATCCAGGGCAAAACTGCTTTTAAGTGCTGGACAAGAACTCCAGATGCCGACTCTGCAAACTTTCCCTACCATTTTGGTATATAATATATTTATATATTAGCCAGATTTGTTTAATTCTTAGTTTTCTTAGCAAGTGGCTAGTAAGGCAACACATGAATATTCTGAAAATATTTACTTGAAAAGACCATGTTTGTTTCTGTAAGCATTGGAAATAAGTCAATTTTTATTTTATATTCATGAACGTAATCCCTTTTATATAATTACTTTTTAACTGCATGATAAGACATTGTTTTGATCAAATAGGCCTTTTCTTTAGCCCAAAGTATTGCAATTACCATGGGAGGTGAAGTTCAGAACGGTTCATTCCAGAAGTTTCAGGAAAAAAGTTCATTAAGTAGCCTTAGCTATTTAATTTAATTTCTAATATGAATGCTTAGAATTTCAAGGATGCAATCTGATCCTATGGATTAACTGTAGACTGAGCAACATGAGCATTTACTTGTGTTGTTTAGGTTGAACTCCACTACAGCATGCCAAACAACAATGAACATGCCAATCGCTTTTCTTCCTATCGCCAAGTTTTTAAAACACCGTATCTATATGTTTTATCTAATGCAATGGAGTATTTCATCACTTATGGCCGGACAGATTAGGAAATGAACCAATTTCTTGGCAATATAGGGGCCCTTGTCTGGCATAAACCCTGCACTGCACAGACAGAGTGTACTCAATAAAATTGTCACATAAATATTGCTTTCAACAGAACATTAAGTCTCACACATCGAAGTGTTCTGTGTGTTCTTTTAAGGCACGAGGAATGTGCTACATTTGGATAGGATTCAGAGAGATAAGAGAAAGTCACCATGGTGTTTTTTTTTCCTTCGAAACCTTCTTTGACTTCTCGGGAACTCTTGTCTGTCTGTCAATACCAATGCCATTTTGGGGATCACCTAAAAAATTAGACGTCAAGAGGAAGAATTCTTCTACCAGACAAATGCTTTTTTTGGTGTGTGTGTTTCATTTTTTTAAAAAAATTCTTATTGCAATAAAAGTTAGATTCTATATGACTGAGGAAAAACCCTTTCAGGTCAAAGGCTGATATAATTCCTTGGATATCTGGCAGAACATATGACAAGCTTTCATTTTCCCATGAATGAAGGCAAATATATATGTCCCTGTGGATCCAATCTGGATTGGTCACTGGGACCGGATTCACATGTCTTCTGAGCTTTTGGAAGACTAGATGTTCACCACCAGCTTATCAAATATTTAGGAGGCAAGGGCTTGGCAGCACAAGGAAACAACAACAACTTAATAATTGACCATCAACACCCCAATCAACGTCTGAAAAGCCACACACAACCAGGCACTATATAAACATCACATATAGAATAGCCCAAAGCACATATTCTGCTAGAGAGAAGTTCCTTGAGGATGGGCTCCAGCATGAGTCCAAAAGTTCAGAAGACTAAATCTCTGATCCCAGTGACCCACCCAGATTGGATCCTGTTTCATTTTCCCACTATCAGTCAGGAAATGACACTTACAGTCCAGATCCCTACAGTAATCCAACAAAAGATATGTTTGAAAAAAGGATTTTGCGTGTAATAAAAGGGTGTTGTCTCATCAACATTGCTTATTTTGGAGAAAGAACAAATTATAATTATACTTGCAATGTGTGTTTAATGACATGGCTCAGGGTGAGTTTTGTTGACTTATGGTGAGAATAGCATACAGTGATAATGCTTTCTGAATTCTGCTAATGTTTTTTCCCAACATTTTGTAGAGGCATTTCCCCCCCAAATATCAGTATAATCATTTCAGGACTTGTAATTGGTGAGCATACACACACACACACACACACACACACACATGTATACGTATATCAAATACGTGTGACCGTCCTGGCATTTCATCCGCCATAGAAATTAAAGTGAAAAACAAATAACATATATATTACTTACACAGTGCTAGTCTTGTAGCAACTGGACATTTTAAATATTTTTATTTAATTTATATGGTCAGCCATCTCACTCTGGATAGCTTGCAAGGTAAAAAAAACCACCCCAAACCTAAAACAAGGAATCAAGGTAATTCCTCTTTAATTCGATTTGGAGAAAGATTAGGTGACTAATCTTTCTCCAAATCAAACTTAACTGGAATTTCACCTTTCAAACCAAACCAAACTAAGAATGTGTCCCCATAAAGAGCTGGAACTGGATAAAATTTAATAATTAGGTAACTTGTTAAGGACATAATGGAACCAGTAAAGAAAGGATGTGATTGTTGCTATTTCTGGTATGGAAATTTCCCTCAATGAGGCCAATTCACTATCACATTTATGCCAACATGGAAATCATAGCACCCTGTAGCTTCTACACCAGCACTCATTAGCTAAGACAGATGGATTCTAAAGGAAGATTTGGTGATCCAGCCTTTGCAGAAGAAAATCAAGACCAAAACATAATGGTAAAAATGGGTTCTTACTACATCTCAATTTACTTTCATTCCAGAAATGAATTTCAGCCCACTCAGTAAACAGAATGATGTAGACTCAATAGCAAAAGCCACACAGAGTTGCCTTGAACCATGAGATGGGCAGCATATGAATGTAATAAGCTAACAAACAATCAAATAAACAGGGGTTTAGTGAAAAAAATCAGAAGAAAAGTTTGAGGAAACAGAGCAGTTAGAAAGTGGAAAAGAAGAAAAAAAATCACAGGCATGTCAAACAATTAATCTGCATATGAAGGCAATTGATCGATCGATCGATAAAATATTCCAAAGTAAAAACCACATCCACCAAAATAAACCCCCACCATTCAATATGTTGCCTTGGGTAACATAACATTAATACCATTAATATGGACTTTTCTGACTCACTTTGAGTCATTGAATGTTTAAGATAAAGCTAGTTAAAGTCCAATGACAGTCATGCCTATGCCCTATTAATTGCCACTGACAATATGACCAAAGGTGAAGCCAGCTCTTAAATTCACTGAGCAGTGACATAATTTGGAGATTTATATTCACTTCTTACAGGAGAAAAATAAACCATTGGTGTTATATCTGTATGTAGCATGATCATAGTGCATACACCAAAAGTAGGCAGTACTGCATATACACACTATAATTATACAAGGCTAATTCCATAATCCCCAATCCATCAAACATCTCATAAAATAAGTGGTAGTGGTAACTAAGGGCATAGCCATAAAGCTCTGTTCAGATAATTTCCTTCAAAAATATGCCTGGGTAAATTGCACTGTTCTCATCATAAATCTCAATTTTGCTACAATAATGCCCAAAGAGTGGAGTTCTCCTTATGTTTTAATGAGACAAAAGTTAAGAAAGGGGATAGCTTAGTTCCCTTTGATTCCCCCCCTCCCTCTAAGCATTAGCAGGGGGAAAAATACCTGTCTCTCCTTAATGCCATAGGGAATAAGTATTATATGTAGGTGCTTAGAACAACTGGTTTAAGACACCTGCCATGCTGTCCACTAAGCATGGAGATGTTCTGTATCAATTTTTGAATAGAGATCTGTTGTGGCCAAGCAGGAGCCGTTGGAGCTGCCGCCAGACTCTGACAGCAAGGGGCCCTATGAGTTGGCTCTGGAGGATGTGGAGGACCATGGACAGGGTTCTGGCTCCGAGCAGGGCGCAGAGAGGCTGGTTGGCCACCAGGAGGCACCTGAGCCTTGGAACATTGGGGAGGAGACAAGAGAGTGTGATCCTGACATAATGCATTGGAGTAGTG